GACTTGACAGGGCAATTTCCAGATTAAAGATCCTCCATTCCCCCATATGTCGGTGACTTAGGTAGATGTGAAGCAACCGCCGCCGTTTTTGTAACTGTTTGCCAAAGACATGAGGGGTTTTCCTCAATTTTTTTAACTCCGGCCCTGGTCCTTAGGGAATTTTTTTATTTAACGCTTTAATTTAACAATATTCGCCCTAAACTTACAAACCTGCCAACAGTCAACAAACGCCACAATATACGGCAAGAAGTAGGAATAAGCGAGAGCAAAACTCTAAGACAAGCCATAGAAACTGTGGAACAGAAGAACCTTCTCGAATTCCACTTATTCCACCATATCCAGCTAAAGGTTAATTTACTGCAAACACCCCAGTTATTGGTTTTTATGCTCTGGCTTTAAACTCCGTAAGTTTGTTGTGCGGAACCTGATCCCCTTCAGCTGCTAGACGTACGCATAAATCGAGTTGCAAAGGTGAAAGGTCGAATTTCCAATAAATCCGAAGGAAAGCCATTTGTTCGCTAACAAATTTATCTCATGGAGTGAAAATTTACAACTAATCCCCAGCTCACAATAGCTGTAGTAGAAGTTGAAAAAATTGGTGCAGTCGCAAGCAACGGCAGAAAAACCATTTTTTTGCAGTTAATTAGCATTAATTTGCGAGTCTGCGAAGAATTAGGGCAACGAAAAATGATGAAACCCTTACAAAATAGTCTCTAATTAAGAACCAGTGGTAAACCTTATGGAAATAATGGGGCAATTATTGTTTTAGTGTGCTATTGATCGGCGTTTTTCGGCCAAATTTATGGCCGCTTAAAAATAATCCCTTTTGTAGTTTCAGTTTTATTCCTTTGGTGGTGTAAAAGTGCCATTGTTCCATTGATTTTATATTCATATTATTTAGGCTGTTTATTTGTTTCGATTTTCTCATCCTGGTTGGGCGGTTTTTCGATTTTTTCAACCACCAAATCTGGAAATTTTGTGGCGCTTTTAAACCGTCTTGAATAATAATTCGAGCAAGCCACCGCTGAAGATGCGATCCACTCGTGCTTCCCTTATGGAGAAATTTTTCACGACAGCCAAAAAACCCGAAAACCTCCTCGGTTTCTTCAACTATTTTCGACCATCATCAGACCTATGTACATTTTGAAACTAGAAAATTATTTTGTTTATGTTGCTGATTTGTACGTTTTTCACGATTTTAGAGTTGCTGTCATGGTCTGTTCTGGATGCCGCCACGCTCCAGAATCTTCTACAAGTAATGTGTTGTTTCCTTTAGCCTTTCTTATATTTTATTAAATGTTTCGTAAAATGTGGCTTCCTGCTGTTCATCAAACTCACTGTGTTTTTGTTGTATGTGTCGATTAAAGGTTTGTTTCACATTCTTACTTTGTAGTTATTGTCAAACATTACTATTAAAGTGCCACAAATATCACCGCCAACGCTTTTGTGGACGTTTGTGGCAACTGTGATCGAAACGTCAGGTGGAACCCGGTTTCCACTTGACTAAAGGTAAATTAATTGCAATTAAGGATTCAATTAATCGCATTTAGGAGACGAAGTCCTGCGGCGCAATCATTCTTCAGCTAGAAAGCCCCGACTTAAGATGGCGAGTAATGTGACAAAACACCGTAAATTGTTAACCGAATGTGTTTCTCGAAAGGTCGAATTGAATATAAAATGAACGTTGCACGTTCCGAATTGACACTAAATCGACTTACCTGGAAGTAAATTAATTACCGCTTTGCCTCATAAATTCTCAGCTTTATCTTCGCGTTAGCTGCGAAGCTGATCCAGACATGATGGAGTTTCCAGTTCTGACGCGTTATTCCAGCTGGAACAAATGAATGATGTAACGTATTTATGCTTTATGCAGTGCATATTCGGGAAGATAAACGATACGATTGGCTGAAAATTTGCCATTTTCCATTAGCTATGCAGGGGGAAATTAGACCAAACTCTTCGGATATGGAACGCGGTGGAGATACACTCAATGGCACTTCATTAGAGTTGAAGCATGTCTTCCAGATCGATAATTCCCGATAATGTATGCCAACCTTTCCTAGGGGTAACGACTTTATCTTTGGAAGCGTGAACTTTGCCATTCGTTTAGATTTTATCAAAGCGATATTCCGAGCGGGAATCTTCACTCGATTGTTTACTCATATTTTATGTATTATCGCTAAGTGAATAGAGATTGTATAAAACATTTTTTTAAGCTGAAACATGGGAATTATTGAGTTTATTTCGCGAAGTTATCAGCTTTAGAAGGTGCACCTTCAACTCTCGAGCACTCTTTCTCTGGTTTATTACAAATAAATTAATTCTTCTGCAAAGCAAAAAGTTAAAAATTAAAACCGTTTTGATCAGGTTTTAAATTATCTCGATGTTTCCAAAAATTTTGGTTTTTATATTGCATCTTTATCAATTAATAATTGAAGAACGTTTGCCCCATTAGATATTTTTTCACAAACAAATTACTTATTGGTGCTAATCAAGTACATTGTGGCAAATTCCTGAATCAGTTTTTTGTGGGAGTTTTTTAATGTTTTGTTTGCGTTTTAATTTCATAACATATTTTAACGCTGAGTCAATAATTAGAGGGATATTTTAATAAAAAAAGACCAATTTATTCTTCATAACTAAACTCGCAAAGTTACGTCCATAATCGTCGTTCAGGCGCCTAAAGTAGAAATCTCTTTAGAACCATTTTCACATTTCTAATTGCTATCTGTTGAGTAAGAAAACGTCGGAACAATTATAAATCTTATTAAGAACAAAGATATTCACAAAAATCTAAGTAATAAATTCGACTTTTAACGACATTTAACTGTTTTAAGTCTTAAATTAAAATGTTTACTTTAATATTGTTTAAAGACTAATTGAAATTTGCCCAAAAGCGAAAAAGCCCGGAAAAACAAGGAAAAAGACGCTAAGAGAATAGAGGAAGAATATGGAGGAACAGACACAAGAAGCGTCAATGAACAACAGAAGAAACACTGGACTTTAGGTTGTTGAGGAGGCATTGAAGCAAATTTGGCAAAAAATTGACCAAGATATCAGAACATGAAGAGAGTGAAATCAATGAAAAAGTAAGTAACGGAAAAACAAATAAAACGACGTAAAACGTTGAGGAAGCATTGAAATAAATCTTGCAAAAATGACCAAGGCATCATGTCAACTAAGACGGACGCCCAGATATGTACAATCTGAGTCTGAAGGAAAACAAGAATGTAATGGAAAACTAACCAATGAATTATGCAAAAAGCCTTGAATATTCCAGAACTAAATAGCTTGTACATGCTAGGACAAGTTTCGTAAAAATCCGCCTCGATTCCAGTACAATTCGACGCAGCTGACCCTTGAGCAGCTGAGCTGAGCTGCGCTAATTCCCGAATCCAGGTGACTGACGATTTTAAAAGCAAACAAATCTGCATGGCAAGGCTCCGGCCCTCCGGATGCAGCAGTTAATATTTGATGGCCCCTACTGGTTTGATTTATTTCACCTAGAAAAGAGCGGCTGTTTAAAAAAACATGCCCAAAAATAGGAGTTTTTCCCGATAAATGTCCAACATTTCCATTCGCCCGTCTGGACTGGCCAGTTAATAGGTCGGATTAATCTATGCCGGTCGCTTGAATCAATTATTCCACTGCTGACCTAAATAATATTGTCTCTCGGTACATGGCCCCTATCGATTAACGATGGGAAAAACAGTTTAAATGTGAAAGAAACAGAATTGTTTGTTTGATGGCACGCTTTTTTTCTGCGGCCTGTTTGACATGCTAAACAACCGTCTTATCGTGCATAATTTCCGGGTTTCAAATGCCAGTTGAATTCTTCAAAGCAACAAAAATAGAAACAAAGACAACAATTCAATTCAAAAAATTGAAATAAATTTCGTCAAAAACTGGCCACGATATCAGCACAACATGGAGTAACAGGCACAAAAAACATCAATGATGTCGGAGGAATCACTGGACTTTAGGGAGGAATGAAATCAACAAAGGATAAAGAACGGTAAACGACGCAAATGCTTGAGGAAGCATTGAAATATTTTTTTTCAATGCTTCCTCAATCATTTGTTGATTGATTGACATCTCATTCTGTTGATTTTATTCCTCTTGCCGTAAGAGACACAAAAAACATTAATGGTGTCGGAAGAATCACTGGACTTTAGGGAGGAATGAAATCAGGATATGGAACGGGAAAACGAAAAAGGCGACGCAACTTATTGAGAAAGCATTGAAACACATAGAAATGAACCGAAAATTATTCCTAACTAAGCCATGTAGAACCAAAGGAAGCTTCTAATATATTTAGTTTGGGCCCCAAAAAAACCTCTCTACCTCTAGTCCTCCATGTACTTTACCACGGATATTCAATCCTGTTACTCTTGTGCCAGCCGTTAAAATCGGAAAAGAATCCTGACAAAATTGGGTTTCAGGCCTCTGTGTAACGAAACCCTTTCATCTGCTATTTTATTACTTTCCATCCTGTCGCGGTTCAAAAAGAGGCCGGCAAATGATTTTTTCCCCATTCAATGTTAACAATCCTTTTTCTTTATCAATATTTCAGCCTGGTTGGTTAACTATTCATAATTTGCGTGAACAAAACGCGGTTCAATGTGTTCGTCTGGCGCGTTTTGTATTATTGGAAGATAATGAAAAGAGGCTTGCACTGACGTCAAAACTCGATTAAATGATGAAACTTTTCTATTTAAGCTCTCCAAATACGCTAAACCAATAAAGGCATATTGATACGATTATTTTCAGCCACATTGAATCACCTGATTAATTAGGAAGTTTTATTAATAATGTCAGACAATATCAGTCGCTTTTCTGGGAAAATTATGTTTCTAGCAGCAAACCAAGAAAATCGTCTTCAGAGCCTCCCTGAGCATCCTGAACAGGCTGATCCTCTACTGCATTTTTTACCTTCACCAATTATTATTATTATTGAGCAAAGTACAGTTACACAAATATTAATTTGCTGCTCTTTCCAGACAATATTAAGCTACGTGGCCTCAAATGGAACGATTGACTTGCTAGAACTGATGCTTCAAGTGCCCGGTTTGGATCCAAATAAGCCGGACAATGAGGGCAACACCCCGTTGCATTTCGCTGCCCAAGCTGGTAAGCAAAAGCATTTTTTGGGGGGAAAAACTGATTAGAATTTTTTGCATTTTGAAGGGCAAGTGGAATGTTTAAACTGCCTGGCAAGCCGATGTCGAGGTGTGGAAATTGACGCCCGAAACAATTTAGGATTCACCCCTCTGATGAAGGCGGCTCTACAAGGAAGGAATAAGTGTGCCAAATTACTGTTATTCGCTGGTAGGTACCGCTCGCTTTAACTCTAATTAACCAGTAAATAACCAGCGGGGAAAAACAACGGGTTAGCGTGACAATTTCTAAAATTGGTAACCTTAATTGAATCCCAAGCGGTTTACCTTTCATGCGCCATTGTTCCACTAACCCAATAATAAAATGCCTCATAGATAATATTATTATTTCAGCGAAAACATAGCTGGGAAACTCAATTGGACGAGCATTCGTTAGATAGATAGATGTTCGACCAATATCCCGAGCTTATTTATTTATCCTCAATAAATTTGTTTTAAATTACCGTTTGCCAATGGAATCGATAAAATTTTTATCGCACTAGTTGTTTTTCATGTCAAACAACTTTAAATTACTGCTTGGCTTTAACATCTGGAGGTTATTTCCTAATGAAAACCTACAAATTGCAACCCATCTTTCCCTGGGTTTGTAGTGGAGATTTTTTAAAAGAAAAATTGCACTCAAGTTGAAAACAAATTGCTCAAAACAACCGCAAACATACACAAAAAAACAACTGGAAAGCAGTCCGAATCCAGAAGAAAAAAGACTGAAGTTCCAAAGAATCGCTAAGCAGAGCAATTCTTTGCTTCGAAACTTAACTAAAGATGGCACAGGACGGACAAACTAATTGTCGCCCTGAAGAAATTGAGAGAAGCAACAGCATTGATGCTCTGAAATTGCTAAATAATCCACAAAATTTAGCAAAGCGCTGAACTAAATAAGGATGACAGAGGAAGATCGCCTAAAAAACTGATAAACGGAGCAAACAATTCAGAAAAACACTTGACTAAAAATTGCAGAGGAAGATTTGTTTGGACTTTTAAAGCTAAGCGTGCGTTTTATTTACGCCCCGTCATGCAGCTTCTTGTCTGCCGTCTGTTTATTTTATTGTTTCCGTTTCTATATTGTAAATTTTAAGAAACTCGTTATTATTAAAGTTAATATTTTTCAGAATTAGGAGAACATTTTTTATATTAGAGCAGGGCAGAAAAAATTGTCATTCTTCAATTGCGTCTTAATATTTACAATAGATTGAATAGGTTTACAAGTGAGGCTTCATAGGACCCAAAATTTGACGAAATATTACAGAAAAACGGTATTAATCACAATTGAACCACTACGTTGCATTTGTCGCATTTTATTTATTCGATTTTAGCGTCAATTGTATGTTTTCTAATTACACAATTTTTTACACAATTGATTGAAAATCGTAGTATTTTCTGGTCTAATTGCCATGTGAACTAAACGATATTCAAAAATTATCAGAGATTTTTTCAGGCGAAGACAAAACTTCAAAATATAGATTTTTGCATAAGTCAGTTTGTTATTAATTCTAAAGGCATTGAGCGAGATTTCTTAAGATTAATTGTTCCGACATTTACAGTTAACAACTGTCAACAATTAAAATTATTTTTCCTCTTTTTAAAATTAAATGCTTTGTTATTAAATAAATAAGACAGTAAGTATAAAGAATATAATTCCGAAAGGTCATTGAGGTTGACTTTTGATATTTGCTTGAAAAATCCCTGAACTTACCGACCTACGTAAGACAGTACGCAGACAAAACTCCATAAGTATTTCAAAAATAAAATATTTATAAAAAATAGGAGGTTTTTATTAATTAAGTACAACAGAACGGAGTGCTGTGATGATATTTTGTCTGCGTGTTTGTCTTATTTTTAGACGGCAGAAAGCTATTTGTTGTCGGTCTATTTATACGCTCTTTTTCAAGCACTTCGAGTTGCCTATAAAGAGCCGAAGTGTACTGAAAGAGTGAAAAAAATGCGAATCAACACAATGATCTTTTAGTTGAAGAAACTCGTCAGATTTGACCATTTTTTTTGCTCGTTTCTCTGTTCATTTACGCTTGAAAAAAAATGGCTTGTAGCCGCTAAACTGCTAATTAAGTAAATAAGTACTTACTGTTGTAATAGCCTGTTAATAGCGAAGCAATTAAGTAAAAACAGTATGGTATAAACGCGATATTTTAATACGTTTAATGGAAGATTAATTAACAACATTGACTTTTTGTTAAAACAATTGCAGTTTGATTAATCAAAGCGGCAACGTTTAGGGGAGTAGCCCTTGAAGATGCCCCCCTTGCAAAGTATCGAAACGTTCAGTGCCACAACTTTTTATATGCCAAATTTGCTTAAACCGCTAATGTAAAGCAAACAAGCTGTCCACATCTTGGAACTCAATTTACAGCTGGATATTTTCATATCAGCGCTCTGGCAGAGCAGCTAATTTGAAAACCAATATTTCCTCATTGAATGTGTTTAATGTCGATGTCGATCAGACCATTAATAACGCAATTAATTTATTATAAAAACCGTTGAAAACAATCAGGAGTTTTAGAGGTTTTTGCCCATTTAGTGGAGGATTCTGGCCCGTTTCTGCCCAGTGTATGTTTAAGTATTTTATATTTTAATTGCTATTATATGTTAGTTGTACATACAAATCCGGGTCTGGTGATTTTTTTGTTAATTTATGCTCTTTCTGGCGAACTTCGATTCGATTTCCGACCGATTAACGACTTGGGCTCGATGTAACGAACAATTGAATGATTTCCGTCTGAATTTGCAGAAAACTCAAAAAACATTTGAAACCGTGTTTACTTTGGCGAATTTAGTTACTTGAATTCATCTTGAATTGAGACGAATTCCACGTGTTGGACGTGAAATGATGAATATTGTTGATATCGCCGTATGAAAGCTTTACATCGCTCTACGTGTGTAACAATAGTCTATTTGCGTTCGACTGTTCTAGAACTATGGAAATTGGGTCGGAAGCTTGCAAGCAAATGGAAAATCCTCTGCCAGTACGCATTTAAGACTAAAATAACTCTGGATATTGGCGGTTGGCACCCGCAAGCGTATTTTTCTTGGGAAAAAAATTAACTGTGCTTGAAAAAATTGCACATGTTTGCTTAGAACTTCCACAGCGTTCTAGTCTATTTCATCAACGGAGAAAAATATTTAATCATTCTGCAATCATCTGAACATCCATAATGAAAAATCAACCAAGTGTCTTTATATCTTCTGTATTCCATGCAGCAAATACTATAAAAAAGGTAAACTTCCCGGAGGATTTCGAACGTAAAAGGGCTTTATGTTCAGTCAAATTATGCCGCAGATTTAACGTAACGTAACTTCGGTCCTTAACAGCTCACTGTCTGGATCCCGAGGAAAATTGGCCAAATAAAGTAAATTGGCATGATATAGAGTCCCTATGCTAACAGTAATGTATAGGAGTAAATGCAGCCAGTCAGGAGGAATATGAAAAGGGGCCGAATGATAGGATATTTATGTCGGCCATAAATCAGATTCGTTTACAATGGTAAATCTTGCAGGAAATTTTGTATTTTCCCCTCAACGGTTTGGTATATATGGGTCATAACCGCTGATGTGAATTCAAACTTAATCGAAAATATTTCTTCATTTCTACCTTTTAAGGGTTTCAAAATGTTCAATAAAAATTGTCCTTAGTCTCTTTTTTGTTGTTTTTCTCAGATTGGACGATTTGAACGCGTTTTCTTATTTATCTTCACTGAAGCGCCAAACCTTGAAGCACAGTTAGTCAGTCATCAATTTAATCCTCTAGACTCATCTAATAGTTTCCGAGCATCTCATTTATCCACTCAACTACATCACCGTTGAGAAATTGGCCAAATCCCAACTCGACCTAATCTGAAAGCCAGTTTTAACTCGATAAGTACGCAAATGCTCTTCAATAGATTTTTCCATGCGGCACTGAAAGTACCCACAATTTCCACTCATTTCAAAATGATGATCAAGTTAAGCCCTTCCATGTCGAGCTAATTTTATTAAAACTTAATCTGATCCCTGGGGAAAGACGTGGATAAAAGGAAGTTGTGCCTCGAATAATTGGTTAAATAAGGATTTTGTAATCCAATAAGCTATTCGGTTTATGCAAAGGTTGCGTTTTAGCAATCGAGTCAGGGCCGATCTCAACCAACGCAGTTTGAAGACGCATGAGTTGAATCAAATAACTATTCTGTATTGATACGAAAGTGAATTTCAGATGCTTTCAGGTCAATTCCTATGTTTGCCTAGCAAGGATTCGGCACTTAGAAAACTCTGGCAATTTTCATTTTCTTCACACATACTTTTAAAAGGTTTTCTCCGAACTGTCTGCCCTTTTAAAACTCGGTCCCCGACCGCAACTATAAGAAGCTGAAAGGAAGACGTTTTGGGACCCGAAACGAATTATAGGGCGACAAAGTTGCTTGTTTCGCTTTTCGCTCTAAAGTTGCGACTTTTTTAAGTGGCGCTTTCGATGGCGCTCTGGAGAACAAGGGTCTACTCCACAAGAAATCGTGCAAAATTCAACATCTTTCCATTTTTTGTTCGGCTAGAAGCTGTATTCTATCGAGAAGATCTCGGTTTTAAACGAACATTGACGCATTTACAAGTAGCGAATGCACCAATGAAGTGGTTTTACTTTTACGGCTAGCTGTACAGATTCGAAACAATTCGCATATAAAACAGGAGAAAATTTAATTTGGCGCACTAAAACTCGCAAGTTTTATAGAGTTTCTCTGAAACACCTTTCAAGCACTTCACAGCGTTTGGCAATGAATGTCGAAAGTAGAAAAGCACATTTTGCAGATTGCCCAAAGGCACAATCAACTTTAAACTTTTATGAACTATCGAGCAAAGTTCAATGGTTTACAGGCAATCAATAACGTTTTACTTTTCTATTTAGTTGGAAATCTGTACTTAAAATAAACTCAAAATTTTACCTAAAGGCTTAGAAGAGTATTTTGCAATTTTCGGCAAATGAGTTGAAAAGGAACTGGAAAAAGGCTAAATGGACTTGGAACAAATCTTAGTGAGCAAATTAATATAAATTTCCCTTCAAATTTCACCAAACTTTTACAAGGATTTTAAGGAAGAAAAGTGCTTTTTTGCGAAGTAACGAAAATTGTGCAAAATGCAATTGAAGCACTTTTTTTAAATATTTGGGCAGACGTTCGCCTGCAAAAAGTGCCGTAGAAACAAAAAGACTGATTTTGCTGGAAAAAATAGAAGAGAAGCAATAAACTGATTCATTGTCGATTCTCCAACAGGAGAAAACCTCAATCATAGATTGTTAATCTTGATTGAATTCCGAAATTCTCTTTCAACAATACAAATCCCTGGTTATTTGGATTTTATAACATACAAAATTTACGTCTAGTGTTTTCTTCAGACTATATTCTTCTTTATTTACACTGTCTTTTAGTTCCTTTCATTTCTGCAATTCGGCCTCGCTTTTTAACTCGAGCTTAAATCTTGACAAAATATATCAAATGTGGTTTCTGCAGGCATTGTTCGTTTTTAGTTATTATTTGTTTTCCTTATTATTAAAGATTATCAGTGATTTTTTAGAATAATCGGCCTCCTGGTTATTTAGATTTTCAATACAACGCTTTCATGTGTAGTGTACTTATAATTTTTCGTCATTAGCTACTCCTTCTCTTCCTCAGTTTCACCTTGCCAATTTTTATTGCCAGTTTTCTCTGCATTTTCAGCTGAAAAATATGGTCGAAGTTTCGTTCAGATACTTCAGACAGGTCCAGACTTTCGTTCTTCATTTGTGAAAAAATATTTGGGAAATCTTTCTTCAAAAGTGTCGGGCGGAACAAATGTGAATTGAAGAAGAACAAAAACATTTTCTTTAAGCTGACTAAATTGTCTCAATTCTGCTTGCTCCAAGCGCTATTCGTTCTAAGTTACTCTTTCACTTCGTTCGTTTTATAATCTCAATCTTCTCCTTTTTAGTTATGAAAAACACCAGATTCGTACCACATTCTCCAATAGGAGCAAAATCGTGTAGAAGCTTCATTTACTGGTTTTACTTAAAATTCTTGTTAAGCTTGCTTCCAAGATTCCTAACTGCTCTTGTAACATTATCAACCAGCCGATAGTTTGGACTATTTAATTTAAAATATATTAAGCGTTTGATATTCAAATTTCGCTTTCTGGGTCAAAACTACTCGAATTTACTCACTCACGTTGTTACGACTGAATCGAGTTTTCAATTCTCTATCCAACGATGCCAAACCGAATTCTGTGGCTCGAATGGTTCTTGAGAAACTTCGAAAAAAGCAGCGTCATGTTCAAGTGGATTTTGTAACTCAAAAAAAACCACGGAAATCTAAAACTTCTTGAATTCAAGTCTTTTTTGAGAAAACTGTCAACATTTCCCCATCCATGGTTCACTTTCTAAAAAGGCCATTTACTTCTCTCTAGAATGATGTACAAATGAGCGTTCTTGCTCATTTTGCCTCCG